ATCTACTCCACGACACCATTCGTCGGGAGAGAAATCTTTTTTACACCATTTGATCCGTCTGGGAGAAGGAATCACTGCAAATAAAACCAGAATCTAATTAATCAATAATTTCTAAAATTAATAAAACGTAAACAAGGTGATCTTTACTCGGTCTTGGCTGTTTGAGAGGGGTGCCCTCAGATGAGGGATTTAGCGCCATTAGTCATGGGATGAGGGATTTGGCTGCTGAGACTAGACAAAGATAGAAGGAATTTGGCTGATGAGAATGAAAAAGGATTGACAAAAAAAAAAGAGAATGAAAGAGGAATGCGGCGGCTAGTAGGGTTTCTAGAGAAAGAGAAGTATTACATATATATATGTATTAGGTTTACGTTTTATTAATTTTAGGTTATGCTCGAAATTATTGATTAATTAGATTCTGGTTTTTTTTGCAGTGATTCCTTCTCCTTTATCAACTCTTCCCAGACGGATCAAATGGTGTAAAGAAGATTTCTCTCCCGACGAATGGCGTCGTGGAGTAGATGTGAAATGGGATATAGATAATTCTCCTATCCGGAAAGAACTTGTTCAATTTCAAGTGTCGAAACAACTTTTTGTCAATGTTCAGAAATCTTTGAGGGTTTTGGACCCAAGTCTTTATATCAGATCTTTCGTGGGATACGGCGACCTCAAGAGTAGATCTACTGAGCCACAAAAAGTATTGCTCGAGAACTCTGGTATTGACTTTGTTCAAGTTGACCCTCAAGAGAGACTATCATGTAAAATTTTTTTTTTTTGTTTTTCAGTGAAATTTTGTTTATCTATATCTAACAATTTTAGTTTTGTTTAAATTATTTGTTGACAGCTGCTGTAAAACAATTCCAGAAAGAAAAAGCCAATGCCGAACAATTTGCTCTTGCTAATCCATCAAGTAAGTTTAATATTTATCAAATACTAGTATTTTCACCCGTGTATAATAGTTTTTATTGAAAATAAAATTATTTTAATAAACTACAATTTTTTAAGAAACTACAATTAAATTTTAAACATAATAAATCAGTAATATTATAATTAATATATGTAATCTTTAGGATCTGTACTCGTACAAAAAGTTGATAATATGCATGTTTAGACAAATAAAAGTATACAACTATTAAATTATTACAAAATTTTAGGGAGAGAAAGCCAAAAAGAACAGTTTAACCCATAATTGTTACATAAGAATGTTTATTCCACTCGTATTGGGGATTTGTTTTAAAGTTAAGTTTAAAGTCAAAACTAAAATATCTTTTGTTTTCAGTGACTTAATTAACTTAAATAAAAAAAACCTCAAAACATCGAATAAAAAAGAGTAAAGAAATGATGATACCATTGATATATGTAGATTTCCATTTTTTTCTCGATCAAATTCTCTTAATTTAATGCCACCGTTGTTGTTTATCTATTCATTTTTTTTGGTCCATGACCAATTCAGGAGAAAAATCATGAAAATAGAGATTAAAATGTAAAAATTAGCATTTTCCGATTTTATTCTTAAAAACTTGTTGTAAATTTCTTAGTTTTAATGATGAATCAAAAATTACAACTGACCTTGTTTTCAGAAGAATGTCTTTGGTGGCTAGGTTTGAGTTGTCGATAGATGGATGTGTGTGTGTTACAGAAATTGCTTTCAGAAGAATTTATTTAAGCATAAGTTAGAAGATTTTGATGAGGACAATGAAATTGAGACGAAATTGATATAAAAAAAGTTGATGACCATTTACTGAGCAATTTCGTTAAAAAATTTGTTTGTTGTTTAGTAAAGTGATTCCAACTTTTTTTTTTCAAATGGGATAAAAAGTTTATTTATGAAAGGTGGAGTACTAAAAAAAAGGATATTCAGGTTTTAATCGGATAAAAAGATTAAGGG